TCTGTAGAGATAAAACCTACACACCCATCCTCATCCCTCTGTCACCTACCAGCTCTGTAGCAGTTGTCAGTCAGGGTGATAGTGCATTCTGAACATTCTGTCATGTGCTGGATGCCAAAGGTTGGGTCTTAGAAATCCAGAGCTGTAAGTGTAAAGTACACAGCCATGCTAGGTTGGGAACACAGAAGGGTCTACACTAGACGTTCCTACTTCCCTGGAACACAAGGTGGATCTCAGCCCAGCAACCATTTGTAGATGTATGTGAGCCCTCTTGGAGAGACCAAAGGGCAGCCCAAGGCAAATGAGCAGTCAGGGAGGAAAGGGTGGTACTCCGGCCTTGCTCTTGCACAAGATCCTGGAGGTGGATAAGACCAGGGTCCTCAGAGAAGCTGCCACTGTGGTCCACAGCACAGTGACAAGGCCCATGACTCTGAACTACAGGAAACTCCAACAGGCAGGGGAGATGTCACTGGTGCCGGGCTGCCCCATCCTCTGCTCTTCAATGAGATGAGGACAAAGGCCACACCTGTCTCAGACTGCCAAGGAGATGCATGAATGCCCAGATGGAATTTCTTCCTGTAAAGCAGACCTGTGATCTGGTGTATCCAGGACGCTGCAGGAAGCCAAATAACCAGGTGCAAGTGAGGTGATCAGGTCCCCGATACTGAAGCAAATGGAAATGGGACAGGTAAGAGCCCTGAAGTTCCCTCCTTCAGAGATCTGTGATGGCTCTAGGTACCCAGACTCAAAAGATCTATTCCATGAAGACCATCCCAAATTGGTTGATATCAAGTTCCTCTGCCAGGTAAGATGGCCTGTAGGGATATATCACTCCCCTGCCCCCATCTGCCTGTACTGGGCTGAACTGATAGCTCTTACCTCCCCAAGCAGCCGCCTCCAAAGTGCCAGGTGTTCAGCCACTTGAGGTAGGCAGATTTCTGCCTGTCACAGAGAGTGGACTAATGGTGTCCTTATTTGTCATTAGGTCAGACATTAAGAGTGCAATCTCGAACCTTAACTTCGGCACAGGCATGAAGCAGCCACATCCAGGCCCTATAATTTCACAACCTGGGGGGAGTATTGAGCAATTCTCCCCTGCTTCAGTTTCCTCAAATCTAAGAGGGGATCCCTGACCTTAAGGGTGTCAGTGGAACTCTCCAACCTTGGCCTGTGATTTGGAACTGTGGAAAGTCCCCAGGCTCTTGCCACAGTCCTGGTTAGCTGGTTATCAGGCCACAATCAGACAAGAAGCTATGCTTTGACAGCCAGGGTACTTGGTTCCCTAAAAGACCCAGGGCTGGATATGAGAACAGAGATATCAAGGAGAGTAGATTGTCACAGAGGCCTAGGCTCTCTCCCCCAAACCTTAGACTGGAACTCTCTGGGGAGCCCTGGAGGCTGGGCTGAAATATGCAGCAAGATGCAGCTGAAGGGCCGCTATCAGTGGAGCCCAAGTCTTCCTCTCTCCCATTCTACTTTGATTTGAGACACATATAGAAGCAATTAAAAAGAAAAATGCAAGGTAAAAACATTTGTACATTCACCAAAGAAGATATGAAAACAGGAAATATAAGCATGTGGTGAAATGTACACTGTGAGCCATGACAAAAATGCAAATTCAAGACAGTGAGACTGAGTCTGGAAATGTGGCTCAGTTGATGGAGTGCTTGCCTAGCATTCATGAGGCCCTTAGTACTACAAAAGCTAGGTGTGATTGCTATTGTTGTCAACTTGCCAGAAATTGAGACTCTCAGGAAACTGGGCTCTGGACATGCCTACTGGGAGTTATCTTGATTATGTTTGTTGTAGTGGGAAGACCAGCCCACTGTGGATGCAACCATTCCCTGACTGGGGTCCTGGAGTGTATAAATGGAAAAAGGGAGCTGAGCAGCAGAGTGTATTCATTTCTCTTTGCTTCTAGACTATGGTTACAATGTAACTAGCTGCTTCCTGCCCCTGCCACCATGCCTTCCCCATAATGATGAACCGAACCCTGAACTGTGAGCCAAAACAAACCTTTTCTTCCTGAAGTTGCTTTTCTCAGGGTGTTTTATCACAGCAATGGGAAAGCAAACTAAGACACTTGGTGTGGTGGTGTATACCCGTAATCCCAGCACTCAGAAGGTGAAGTCAGGGAGAAATGAGGGCTTAGGGTTCAAGGCTAACTTTAGCTTCATGAGACCCCCATCTCAAACAAACAAGCAAACACCTTGGAATACACCTAAGTATGATGGCTTATGCTTGTAACCCCAGCCTCAGGAGGCTGAGGTGAGAAGACCTCGAGTTCAAGGCCAATCTGGGCCACATAGTCAAACCCCTCTCCAACGTAATATTTTTTTTAAGTCGCCCTGAAAATAGTGGAAAAGGCTGCTTCCTGCCTACTGAACCCAGACCCAGCAAATTGCACAGCCAATCCTATACTGGAAGGTGTTGGGCTTTCACCTTGTGAAAATGCACCTTGCACACCTGCTAAGCACACGCAAACAGCACAGGGCTCTCTCCTGCAGTGCCACCTGGAGGTAGTCTTGATGAACAGTAAGGGGCATTTTCCAAGGAATTACTTTATTATTATTATATAGCAAAGATACGTCTCTTTCAAAAGCAGCTATAAAATTTTTAGGTTCACTGTTGAATTAATACAGTTATACAATATTGAACTCAGTATAAACCCTGTAAGACATAAAATTGAATGAGTTTTTAACCTTTAAAAAAGATCTCCATTTCATTTTAAAATATGTTTCTTACAGAAAGACTCATTGGAATTACTTTTTTGTTTTGTTTTGTTTGTTTTTGAGACAAGGTCTCTCTCTGGCCTGGAGCTCGCTTTGTAGACCAGGCTGGCCTTGAACTCAAAGATCCGCCTGCGTCTGCCTCCTGAGTGCTGGGATTAAAGGCATGTGCCGCCATGCCCGGCTGGAATTACTTTTAACATGACCAAAGCCCCCCATTTGTGCTTTCATTCCAAGGTCCAGTTCTTTGTTTTCAGCAAATGTCCCATAAATTTTCTTTTTTCCATTCTTCTCCTTAAACCTGTCTCCAAGCCACAAACAACAGAGACAGTAGACACGTTGGAAACTTACAGTCCTCCTATCTGGCCTCCCTCACTCCCTGTTATAGAGGTTTCTGAAGTGTGGGACAGTGGCGATGCCAAAATCCTGGGGTGGGACTCTACTGGAGAATTAGAAGCCTTGCAGGGGTAAGGGTAGGCAGGTGGTTATTTGGGGGACACTAGAAGCCTTCAGCTGGCCTCAGGGACTGGCTGATTCCTATTCTTCTTTGAACACAGTGCACCCCACTGCCCTGCTCAGTGAGATATGGAAAGGCCAGTCCTACCTTGCCTTGGGACCCCTACCCAGGATCCCTAACACTAACCCTTTAGAGTATGCTGACTGCTTCTTCCTTACTCCAGCTGAACCCTGACTGGAGCCCCTCTCACCCCCATGAAACTTAGGGTAAAACTTTCCTGGTCTGGTTTAGCCCCAATCAAGCTACAACCCCATCCCTCCTGTCTCTTATGCACCATAAAACTAAAGCCCAGATCACTGCCCCATGCTCCTGGGCATCCTCCTTGGGAGACTCACATTCTGATCAGATGCCTTGGTGTGGGGTCTGGATGCTACCAGTCCCATCCTCACCTGGTGTCCTAGTTTGCTTTCTGTTGTTGTGATAAAACACTGACCAAATCCAACTTGGGGAGGAAAAGCTTTATTATATCTTAAAAGTTATAGTTCATCATCCAGAGAGGTCAAGGGAGGCGTTCAAGGCAGGAACCTGGAGACAGGAACTGAAGCAGAGACCATGGAGGAAGGCTGCTTACTGGCCTGCTTCCCCTGGATCATGCTCATGCTCAGTCAGTTTTCTTTTGTTTTGTTTTTGAGACAGGGTCTTCCTGTAACTTCAGCTGGTCTGGAACTACGCAGGCTGGCCTTGATCTCACAGAGATCTGCCTGCTTTTGCCTCCCAAGTGCTAGGATTAAAGGCATGCACCACAGTTTTGGGGTTTTGGGGGGGGTTGTTTTGGTTTGGTTTGGTTTTGGGGTTTTTTGTTTTGTTTTGTTTTGTCTTTTTGAGACAGGGTCTCCCTGTAGCCCCAGCTGTCCTGGAACTCACTATGTAGACCAGGCTGGCCTCAAACTCACAAAAATCCACCTGCCTCTGCCTCCCAAGTGCTGGGATTAAAGTTGTGCGCCACCATGCCCGACTGCAGCACAGTTTTATACAACCCAGGCCCTCCTTCCCAGGGGCGGCACCACCTTCAATGGCCTTGCCTCCTACATCAGTTAGCAATTGAGAAGATGTCTGACAGGCATGCCCATGGGTTAATCTGATGGAGGAAATTCTCAATTCAGGTTCCCTCTTCCCAAATGAGTCAAGATAACAACTAGGATTAGCTGTCATAGCTGCTAATGCTTATCAGGCCAGTTGGGCATCCACTCTCTGAAGCTGGGGCTTTAGTGGAAGGAACAGTCATGACTAGGGTGGTGAGGCAGGTGCTTTATGTCCAGCCCCTGTCTTCCACAAATGGCTTTACCCACATGGTCTGGGTACCCACGTCTTCAGAGTTCCAGCACAGAATAAACAAAAGGATGAAGGATAGGGACTTTCTAGGAGTTGCCTGATTCCCTACACTTTACTTCCCTTGTTAACGCTGATGAGGGCTGGAGTCTTTAATCATGCTAAGGCTAACCCCAAACTCCCTACCCACAGTATGGTCAAATCCGGACTCCAAGGATACTTGGGATGCTAGGGGTTTGAGAGCCAAACACGACTACCTGGATGGCCTAAGGACCCAGAACAAGAACACAGAACATAGATTTAGAGTGTGCAGACCTGCACCACCTGAGCAACACTGGCAGCAAGTTCAGCCCATGGTCTCTGCATATGGGAAATGGCACTCATCTCTCCCAAAGGAAAGAAAATACAAACTCACACAAACACCTGAACTTGAATGTGCACAGCATCTTTATTAAAAAATAAAATAAAAATAAAACAGCCTGGAAGCCAAAACAGCCAAGGTGCCTTCAACAGCTGCTTGCATAGCAAATTCCCACTCCTCTCCATTTTCCACCAGCACCTCAGAGTGCTCTCTCCTGCCTGCCAGCATCACTGCTTTTTTCCTGGGGTCAGGAACATCCGGGCTCCCAGAAGGCCAGGAGACTGGGAAAAGGGCAGTGGGTCTGACAGAAGTCAGCCAACCTATCAGCTGACTAGCATGAGGCCAGCAACTGGGCTCAGGAGAACTTCTTTATCTGCCATGTGATCCAGGGCAGGAAGGACTGCACACGTGCATAGACTCCAGGGGTGTCCCACCAGGCACAGCCATAGCCCCAGCTGACCACTCCCACCAGGGTCCAGGAGCCTGCTACCATGCAGACGAGGGGGCCGCCAGAGTCACCCTGAGGAAAGAAGAAGCACTGATGATTTTGGGCCCTGAAATGGCAATAGGAACAGGGAGAGGGACGTTGGTGGAACTCACATAGCAAGTCCCACGGCCCTGGCTGCCAGCACACAGCATGTCATCCTGGATGAATTTACGGCCCTCGTAGTAGTGCCAAGTGGCATTGTGGAACATCTGCTCACAGAGGGCGTTGTCCACTATCTGTACCTGCACTTGCTGCAGGCGGAAGGGTGGGGGAAGCCATTCTGGGGAGAGAGAAGGTTGGTGAAGCATAGATTCCACCTGTCCATGATCCTACTACTTGTCCTGGGTGCTGATGACAGATCCAGCCCTACACAAGTCCATCCCTGCCTCTGAGCTTTAGCTTCCCTCTAGAACAGGATGTGGAGGGGACACCAGTCTACAGGGTCCATGTCCACCTGTGACCTCTAGAGTCTAAAGATGGATTCCATTTTCCTATAGGGGCCAGAGAAATGACTCAGTGGATAAAGGAACTTCTGCCAAGACTTAAAACCTGAGTTCCATCTCAGAGACCCACATGGTAGAAGGAGAGAACTAACTCCTGCAAATTGTCCTTTGACTTCCACGTGAATTCCGTGGCACATACATCCCCTACCCATATAAAAGTAAAGATTATAGGGCCGGGCGTGGTGGCGCACGCTTTTAATCCCAGCACTTGGGAGGCAGAGGCAGGCGGATCTCTGTGAGCTCAAGGCCAGTCTGGTCTACATAGTGAGTTCCAGGACAGCTGGGGCTACAGGGAGATCCTGTCTCAAAAAGACCAAAAAAAAAAAAAAAGTAAAGATTATAATAAAAGTCTATCTACCTATAGTTCAAAGACCAGAAAAAAATGGATCCAGGTATTCTGGTATTTCCTTCAAATGCCACTTTTTTCAAAAGATTGTTCAGAGTCTTGGGTTCTGGGTTCATCCATGCCATCAGACTCAGGTACAAAGGCTCTGAAGTATAGCTAGGGAAGCTGTTTATCAGTGGCTTCCTCTTTCCTCTCTGGAACCTGCTCCCAGGACCTCAATACCACCCATCAGGAATCTTCAAATGTCAAGTTTGTTTCCACAGCCCAAATTCTCCCCTTATACGTACCATACATGTGGACCATGCCCCAGCCAGTCACCCAACACCGGCTCTTCGAGGTGACCTGAAGAGATCTAGAGGACAGCTTGACAGGCTTGATATTAGCAGAAGAGTCAATGGGGTTCTTCAATCGGAGCAGTGCAACATCTGAACCCAGGACACCACTCACATAGTTCCGATGGATGATGACCTGGCTCACACTCAGCAGCTCCTTGCCCCCGTAGAGGTACACATCCCCAGCATGGATCCGAAAGGCTGATGGATCAGCATCTCTCCTGGCATCAGAAAAAAAGCTATGACAGCGTATCTTAGGCACCATGGGAAAATTCTCCACAGTGCTGGGAAGAATCAACCCCAGCCCAGGGCTCTAGACTCCAGGTCTCAGCCCTGCCTTTCTGATTCACACCACATCCCACCCAGGCCTGGATGGTGGAGGAGGGACTCACTTGTGAATGCAGTGGGCAGCAGTCAGCACCCACTGAGGGTGGATGATGGAGCCTCCACAGATGTGTACCCAAGAGGCAGAGTAGTAGCTATAGCGCCTCAGGCTAACCTGCCATGGCCACCTCCCCTGGGGGGCATTGTGGCCCCCCACGATGCCCACCAGCACATCTTCAGAGACAGGTGCTGCAAGCAACAGGTAGAGGGACAATGCTCAGTCTGTCATCCATACTCACGCAGAGCAGACCACACACATACCCCCAGGTTCCTGAGGACAGAGCTTCTTGGGGCCTCTGTGGAAGGCAGAGGTGGGATGGGGTGAGGACTCACCTGGGGTCTCAGCAATGGAGCACCCCACAAAGAAGAGGGTCAGACACAGCAGGCTCAACATCTGTAGAGAAAGGCACAAAGCAGGTATAGAGGGAGTGGAGTTAGCCAGGGTCAGGATGAAGGACTAGACCCTCTGCATGGGTCTGAAAGAAGACAGAAGCATGAAGGGCCTGGAGGGGCCTGGGTTAGGATGCAGGGAACCAAAGCCTGGAGCCCACTAGAGGCATCTGAGGTGGGAGAGGATGGTATCCTTACCATACCAGGTCTCTGCAGCACCCTCCTGCCTGGACTTCTCAGTTCCTTTATCCTCCAACCCCAGGAAGTGGGCAGGAGACTTGGCCAGGCCTTTGCTTGGAGGAGGGGCTGGGAGGAAGTGGTATTTGGCCTGTGACAGGGACTGTTGGGGGAACTAGGTATTTCCTTGGGTTCAGGTACCCAGAGTACCAGTTATAGAGGTGTCATTATCTTTTTGAAATAACATCTTGGGAAATGTTAGGGAGAGGAGGGCTGTGGCCCAAGCTCACCCCATGTCACAACTTATACCTGAGTGGGGCAGGGAAGATCCCCTCTCCAGCTGTACAGGTGACACTCAGACCCAAGTGGACCTGCTCTTCCATGCCAGGTGCATTTAGCCATGCTTTGGGTGTCATAAGGAATACTTCTGCCCAGGGATCTGCTCTGAACCTACAGTGTCTCAGATGTATTTCATGGGGGCCAGACATGGTGCCACATGCCTTTAATCCCAGCATTCCAGAGGCAAAAACAGATGGATCTCTGAGAGTTTGAGGCCTGCCAGGTCTACATAGTGAGTTCCAGGCCAACCAGGACTGCATAGTGAAACCCTGCCTCCCCCTTACCCGCCCCCCAACCAAAAAAAAAAAAAAAAAAAAACAGGGACTGTAAGCCTCATGGAGACTGCCCTGTATGGTTGAGGACCTCGCCACCATAGACAGCCTGTAGGCAGATATCAAACCTGAGGGCCATTCTTCATAGCACCTGTGGGAGGCTTAGGCGCATGGAGCCCAGAGCTTGTCAAGAATTTCCATGCCTTGAATCCCTGGCCACAGTGACTAAGCCTGGTACTTTCCCTACTCAAATCTGAGTATTAGGTGTGCCCTGGAGCCACCATGGGTGCTGGCTGAACACTCCCCACATTTGTAGCCAGTATAAATTTTTTAGGAAGATATAAGGTCTCACATATCTTAGACTGGGCTTGAACTAATTCTGTAGCCTATGATAACCTTGATCCTCCTGCGTCTACCTCCCAAATGCTAGAGTTACGGGTATGCACCACCATGCCTGGTTTTATTACAGTGCTGGAGCCTCATGCAAGCTAGGTAAGCACTCGACCAACTATGCTACATCCCCAGACTCTGGAAATTCTTTTACCCATAGCATCATTTTGACTTTGGAGCACATTGGGGAAGGAGACCCAAGGGCCCGTGCCCTATACTCAGAGTCAATCCCTAGATTGACCACGCACCAGCCTTTTCACCTGCATGGCACAAGAGAATGAGGCTCCTCTGTGTGGGCGCACCAGCTCCATGGGAGCCAGCTTTTTTTTTCAGCCACTATGACACCATCCTTCAGGCAGAGTCCTATCAATCACTGGAAACACATTTCTGTTGTCTCCCTAAGGTGACCCAGAAAGTAATTCCTGTCCCTGCTCAGGGCTTTCTGTCCCCAAGGTCCAAGACCAGAATGGGCACTAGAATTGCAGGTGGTGCTGGTGTGACAGTGAACTGAGTGGCTCAGGGTTGGCTGTACCTGGGGACTGTAGAGGAGGCTGGGGAGATGCACACTTGGCTCTAGTCCCACACAGTGGGATAGAGGGCCTGAGGGCCTAAGCCCATTGTGCAGGGCACCTGTGCATGGGGCACTGTGGGGACAGTGTAAGCCCAGGGGGCCCAAATTAGGGTACTTTGGGAGATAGTGTATGCCTAGTGTCAGGGCATGGAGTTCTTGGCTCTGGGAGAGCCCCTCACTGTTCATTGAACCTTGCATTGTGACAAGGCAGCAAAGATAGATTGTGGGGTTGGAACCTTGGCCTGTAAGGAAGCCTAGCTGTTGGATGGCCTGCACCATGATCTATCAAAACTGAGTAAGTAGAAGAATAGGCAGCTGCTTGGGAGTACAGATAGGAGGTAAGGTGAGGGCCAGGCCCTTTACATCCTGGGAAGCCACCAAGGCCTGAGGAGTGACACAAGGACCAACTCAAGAAAAACTGATTTCTGCTTCCTGTGGGTCCAGGGTTTCTTATCTGAGTGGGATTGCCTGAGGCCCCTCACTGGTGGTCCTGCTGTCACTGTTGGGTAACAGGGCCTGGGGATAGGATACCTGACTTCCCTGATAGAGGCAGGGCCAAGTCACCATAAGCACATCTGATGATAGGATCAGAGAAAGAATCAAGAGACCACAGAAGGGAGGGAGGGGTGGTCAGGTAGCCGTTAGCCCAGAAGTGGTCAGGTAGCCGTTAGCCCATGATCCACAACTCAGTCAATGAGAGGGTCATGTCCAGGTTGTGGGCTCAGGGATGCTATTAGGTAAAGAATGTGGTTGCCCAGGGCTGGTGTTGCAAGAGGGAGGGTTGGCAGAAGCTTGGACAATGGACCAGCACTGGAGCACCAGTGTCTCAGAGCAAAAGGCCCAGAAACCTGAGGACGCTTGAGCTATAGCTAGTAAGGGCCCAAGACCAGGTTTTTCCAATGTCCCTACACGTATCGCAGCTTGTGTACAGAGGGAATGTGGGTTAGTGATGAACCAGCTCCCAGGCTAGGCACAGTGCTTTTGAAAGACCTGAAATGTCTTCCCTTTGAGTTCTTGGAGACCCAGGGAGGAATTTCCACTGTCCACTGTCCACAAGATCTAATCTGTTCAGTCACCCATGACACTGACTGGTTCCCAGCGATCTTGGGTTGTTGTTGAAGGAGCAGAAGCAATTGTGGACACTGAGGGTGGGGCTGTGGTATGCAAGCAGAATGTTGAGATACCCCTGCCTAGCATTAGGGGATGCCTTAATGGGTACTCAGGCTGAGCCCGGGCAGATGGCAAGTTAGCCTGAGAGATAGGGACATAGCAGGGTGTGCCTGGGTGAACTTGGGCCATGCTGTCATAAGTTAGTCTCACTGTACTGCCTCATAAGTTAGTCTCACTGTACTGATGTCTTGTTCATCTTGAGTGCATGGAACAGCTCCCATCCTGATCTTTTCTCATGGTATCAGGCAATTGTGCCTGTCTTGGGAGAATAGCAGTGTTGTTGCTTATAGTGAGTTTGGAATAATATGTGTCCTTAGAAAAGGCCTCAGGAACTATTGGTGGTCATTTTCAGAAAGTGAGCCTACAAAGAACATTCCAGAAAGGTCTCTGGCACCAGTAGAATTCTGAAATTCTTATATACCCCAAAATTTCACTAGGGACTAGCCAGTTGTGTATTCAGGATAGCACCTAGCAAGGGTACTTAGCCCTGAGAATGGCCAGGCTTGGGTAAATTATCTCTGTGTGGACTGCACTATTCAATTATGGTTTGTTCCATTTAATTACTTTGTCTTTTATATTTAATTTTCTTGACTTTGAAAGAGCATTTCACTCTTTAAAAAGCAGTGATGTACAGTTGGGAACATAGCTCAGTGACAGAGTGTTTGTCCAGTGTACACACACATACACACACACACACATACACACACACACGCGCGTTGTAGTCTGTGATCCGCAAACGCCCCAAACAGACAGACAGGTGAATCTAGAGAAGGAAAGATAGATTTATTACAGCCGGGCTACACTCTTTCCTAAAGGGTCCAAGAGTAGCACCAAGCCTAAGCGCTCTGGCTCTTTTTGTATTGATCATGTTGCTAGGCAAGCAAGCAGAATACAGAAACTAATCATTGAGCGTTAAGCTTGAGCAAACATTATCAAGGAAATACATAAGAAAATACAATTTTCCATTCAAACCCCACACCCGAACCATAATACATCTGCATGCCTTCTTCCTCATTCATAAACAAACATTATCAATCTTATTATTTACCTTGCCTTTTCTGGTCACAAAGTTCCCTCTAAGGGGGTTGTGTTGTATAGCAATTGTATCCTAGAAATAAAGTTTCCCTAAGTCTTCCAACCAGAAAGAGGTCTGTTAGCAACAATTACTATTTTGCAGAAGCAAGGCAAGAATGACCTACAGAAGACATAAATCAGCAGTTAGCAGAAGCACTCTAGGATGCTCTGACCTGTTCCCAAGACAACCAGGGCCCAGCTGGCATTCCCATACCCTGGGCCAACTGCCTAATAATTTCAGAAACTAGAGTCAGCCTAAACTCTAACATGGTATAGCTATGTAGCTATGGTCAAGAAGGTGCACTCTTACAACACACACACACACACACACACACACACACACACACACACAAATGTACATTAAATAAAGAGTTTTTTAGAAGAACAGACCTTAGTGCCCTTATAAGCTTTAGGGGTGGGACGCTGAGTGCTACAATAAACACAAGCTGCCCAACACCACACAGAGCCCAGCTGGGCACAGACTTCAGGTTCAAAAAAACCCAATGAACTAACTTTCTTTGGTCTGTTTTTGAGAGAGAGTCTTCCTGTAGCCTGGAACTCACTAGGTAAACCAGGCTGGCCTTGACCTCACAGAGATCCACCTGCCTCTGCCTCCTGAGTTCGGGGATTTAAAGGCTTGTGCCACCACACCTGGCTGCCAATGTACTAATTTTGATCACTTTTCCCCAGCCCTGGCCTCCAGGGTGGTACAGGCAGAAAGCAGAATTTTCGGAGGACTAAAGGATACAAGAGGGGTCTCAAGCACAGGGTACGAGGACACCAGACACTGCACCCCAGTCAGACCTATTTCCCCAAGGATCTGCAGGGAGTAGGAAATAGGGTATAAGAGAAAGGGCAAGGTCAGCCTAGCTCCAGCATCCTGGGAGTCATAGGAACATGGCCTACCCTCCAGAGGGATTCCAGATTCCCCCACCCTTTGCCAGTGACAGCAGTGCTACCTGACCCTGGGTGCAAAGTTGGAACCACACCTAAGCCTTGACCTCCCACCCTCCCTGTCCTGGGGATGTATTGGAGGCACAGAACTGGGGAGGTTCTTGGTGGGCTATGCTGGAGAACTAGGGGCCTATGCAGGTGTTTGGGGAGTATGCAGTGACTTGGGAACATTAGATGTGACACTATCCGGGTGTTTGTGGCAGCCATGGTCATTGGATGACTCCCAGTCTCCCTGGAGTGACCTACTCTCCCTCTCTCCCCTGCCCAGCTGCAGGTCAGAAAAGCCAGCCCTGCCCTGCCTAGAGGACCCTGCCCAGCAGTCTGGGAGCCCTATAAGACCTAAGACTTCCCCCCCATCTCCCGCAATCATGCTTCCTCTTCCAGAGCCCCAGTCAGAGCTTCTTCCTCTCCTCTCGACACCCCTCTTGAGCAAGGATGAATCTCATCTGGGTTTAACCCTCATCAGGTACCACTCTACATCCCACAAAGCCCAGCTTGGGTCACTGCCCTATGTATCTGGATGAGCTCTGCAGAATATTAACTCCCAGTCAGAGGCTCTGGATGAAAGAACAGCCCTGTCAGGGACTGAGACAGGAGCTCCCAACCAGTCCAGCCTCCTCCTCCTCCTCCTCCTGCTCCCCAGTGAAGAGGGTCACCTCCTTCCTACCAAGACTCTTCCCACCATACACCCAGGATTAGAGCCGCCCTGTAAGGGAAGCCACATGGCTGCCAGCCCTCACCCTCTCTGTCATTAGACAGCTGGCACTGGATTGGAGTTCAAGGCGATACTCCAGGCCATAAAGAGACCTTAAATATACTGTCTGGATACTTGAATCTATAGGATCCTGGAGCAAAATAATGAGGTAGAGGAAAGATAGCAACATCGCAGCAGTTGCCTAGACCCTGGCACATTGTTCCCCTGGTGACATTGATGACGGTCAGAATGTCACCATCCCAAGGCTGCATATCTGGGCCTTTTACTCTTCATGCCTTTATAGTGTCACTGCATCTTGGCTCCAGGATACTATGGAGATGCTAGGTGCTTTCAAGACAAGGGCAACAAGAACTGGCAGGGAGCCTGGAAGCCAGGAGCAAGGACCCAGAGCACTGACCTGCCTGAGCCCCACTTTTGGCAAGTTTAGCCCTTGGTTTTCTCATCTGGAAAATCATTAAAACAGCATCTGTAGTGTTTCCATCAGAGAAAAGGAGATTTGTGTTCACACAAAAACCTGAACATGAATGTGCACAGTATCTTTATTGAGAAAGCAAAAAAAACTACTAGTCCACATCTGTGCTGGTACTCAACACATTCGGCACCTATGCTCCAGAGCCTGAACCCTGCCTAGCAACTCTGGAATTTTCATCAAAGAGACAGCAGAACCCAGCCTATTCCAGCCATCACCCCTGACTCTTCCCCAGGCTCCACAAAGACCAGAAGATAGGACAGAATCAGGAAACTGGGTGAAGACTGAAGCAGAGTGCTAGATGATGATAAGGTCAGCCAATATGTGACCCCTGAATATGCTGAATAATCCAGGGCAGGAAGGACTGCACACGTGCATAGACCCCAGGGATGTCCCTCAGGGCACAGCCATAGCCCCAGCTGACCACTCCCACCAGAGTCCAGGAGCCTGCCATCCTGCAGACAAGGGGGCCACCTGAGTCACCCTAGGAGAGGAAGAAGCATTGATGGTTATTGGCCCTGAAATGGGTGTGGGGAGGGGAAAGGGGAAGGTGGATGGGACTCACATAGCAGGAGTCTCGGCCCTCAGTGCCTGCACACAGCATGTCCTGTAGGATCAGACTATGGCCCTGGTAGTAGTGCCTGGAGGCATTCTGGTACAGCTGCTCACAGAGGGCATTGTCTACTATGGGCACCTGTACCTGCTGAAGATGGTAGGGTGGGGGCAGCGAGCCTAGAAAGAAGAGGAAGTGGGACTGGTGGTGTATAGATCCCACCTGTTCCACAACCCTACTGCTCATCCTGGGGATAGAGGTGGGGCCTGTCCCCAATATAGCTCCATCTCTGCCCAAGTCCGGCCCCCTCTCTGAACCTCAATATGCCCCTCCTGGAACAGAGTGTATGGATGCCAGCCTGCAGGGCCCATGTCCACCTACAACTCCTAAGACCTCTACACATGGATTCTATCTGCCTGGCCTGCCAGGGACCAAACAGTTGTTTTCTGGTATTTTTCTCCAAATACTTTAAGTTGGAAAAATAAGAAGCAGGCTTTCCCTCTCAGAGTCTTGGGATCTGGGTCCAGATGCCATTGGCCTTGGGTGCAGAGGCTCTGATGTACATCAAGAGTGGCTGAGGAGATGCAGCCAGAGCCATCCCATGTTCCACAACAGCTCCCTCTTTCCTCTCTGGAACCTGCTCCCCAGGACCTCAGCACCACCCTCCATGAATCTTCAGAGACCCACATTCTTCCCCAATACATACTATACATGCTCACTGTGCCCCAGCCAGTCACCCAGCACGCATCCTTCTCGGTGACCTCAAGAGACCTGGAGGACAGCTTGACAGGCTGGACATTAGCAGAGTATTGCACGGGTTTCGCCAGCTGGAGCAGAGCCACATCCGAACCCAGACCAGCATCGATGAAGTCTTGGTGGACAATAACCTGGCTCACGCTCAGCAGCTCCTTGCCCCCGTAGAGGTACACATCCCCAGCATGGATCCGAAAGGCTGATGGATCAGCATCTCTCCTGGCATCAGAAAAAAAGCTATGACAGCGTATCTTAGGCACCATGGGAAAATTCTCCACAGTGCTGGGAAGAATCAACCCCAGCCCAGGGCTCTAGACTCCAGGTCTCAGCCCTGCCTTTCTGATTCACACCACATCCCACCCAGGCCTGGATGGTGGAGGAGGGACTCACTTGTGAATGCAGTGGGCAGCAGTCAGCACCCACTGAGGGTGGATGATGGAGCCTCCACAGATGTGTACCCAAGAGGCAGAGTAGTAGCTATAGCGCCTCAGGCTAACCTGCCATGGCCACCTCCCCTGGGGGGCATTGTGGCCCCCCACGATGCCCACCAGCACATCTTCAGAGACAGGTGCTGCAAGCAACAGGTAGAGGGACAATGCTCAGTCTGTCATCCATACTCACGCAGAGCAGACCACACACATACCCCCAGGTTCCTGAGGACAGAGCTTCTTGGGGCCTCTGTGGAAGGCAGAGGTGGGATGGGGTGAGGACTCACCTGGGGTCTCAGCAATGGAGCACCCCACAAAGAAGAGGGTCAGACACAGCAGGCTCAACATCTGTAGAGAAAGGCACAAAGCAGGTATAGAGGGAGTGGAGTTAGCCAGGGTCAGGATGAAGGACTAGACCCTCTGCATGGGTCTGAAAGAAGACAGAAGCATGAAGGGCCTGGAGGGGCCTGGGTTAGGATGCAGGGAACCAAAGCCTGGAGCCCACTAGAGGCATCTGAGGTGGGAGAGGATGGTATCCTTACCATACCAGGTCTCTGCAGCACCCTCCTGCCTGGACTTCTCAGTTCCTTTATCCTCCAACCCCAGGAAGTGGGCAGGAGACTTGGCCAGGCCTTTGCTTGGAGGAGGGGCTGGGAGGAAGTGGTATTTGGCCTGTGACAGGGACTGTTGGGGGAACTAGGTATTTCCTTGGGTTCAGGTACCCAGAGTACCAGTTATAGAGGTGTCATTTATCTTTTTGAAATAACATCTTGGGAAATGTTAGGGAGAGGAGGGCTGTGGCCCAAGCTCACCCCATGTCACAACTTATACCTAGTCCTAGCCTGGCAGGAACCTACTATGTGGACCAGGCTGGCCTCGATCTCACAGAGATCTGCCTGCCTCTGCCTCCAGAGGGCTGGGTTGAAAGGCCTTAAGCCACTACGTCTGGTGTTGCTTTGTCTATGTTTTAGAATCAATTGCTCCCTCTGTGAGAAGCCTTTACTGTGACTGAATTAGGTTGGGTTTCTGCACTAATGGAGAGAATGGCCATCCTGCCAACACTGCATCTTTTCAAACTTGTCTTTGTGTTTCTGGTCTACACAATGTTCACTACCTTTATCCCTGAGTATCTGACAATGTTGTAGTTATTGTGAATGTCATCTTTTTAAAAGGATGTTATCATTCCATGACTGGCATGAGGAAGGCTGTCCCTCTCTGCACATCCACCTTAACCAGCGGGCTGATTGGTTCTGGAAGATTGTCTTGAGTGTGGAAAGTTGTCATCTATGACTGATCACTCTTGTTTCTCACTCTCATTTTGCTTGTTTGGTTAGTTGGTTGGTTGGTTGGGTTGTTTGTTTGTTTATTTGTTTGTTTTTAGAGACAGAGCCTTACTCTGTAGCCCAGGCAGGCTTCAAATTCATTATCCTTCTGCCTCAGTCTCTAGAGTTCACCACCGTGCCAGGCTCTCTGACAATACCAAAGCAACCATAACTTGTATAAGCAATGAGGATTATTTCTTAACATATTCCTCTGTCTTGATTTTTTTTTGTTTTGAGCTGTTTTGTTTTGTTTTGTTTTGTTTTGTTTGATACAGGGTCTTCATGTAGCCCCAGCTGTCCTGAAATTCAGTATGTAGACCAGGTTGGCCCTCATCTCACAGAGATATGCCTGCCTCTGCCTCTCAAGTGCTGGGATTAGAGGCATGTTTCCTCCCTTCCTGCTTCAGGATTTATTGGCTGTTCTTTTGCCTGTCTTTAAAGATTTGGCCTGGCCTGGTGGTGTACACCTATAATTCCAGCACTTGGGAGGTGGAGGCAGGAGGATGAGAAATTCAAGACCAGCCTCAACTAGATATCAAGATCCAGGGCATGTAGGTTACATGAATACCAATCTCATATATATATGCAAAATAAAAGTTTTTGCAAAGCAGCCTATCATTATCCCTTCTTAGTTCCAGGACCGTGGGTGCTACGCCTCCCACCTCACCCACCATCATCAGAATCCTGTCCGGGATTCCCAGAGTAGTCCCCATTGGTTGATGCTATGCAATCAGTGCTGGTTACAGTTCACAAGGAAGGAAAATGGGGTTTAGGAAATTTCACCGTGTACATGGTACAAAGGCTCAGAGCAACTGGGGACCCTGTACCCAGACTGAGCCTGGATCAGGGCAGGACCTCCTTCCTCTGCCCCCCAGGATGACACAGTTGTGAGCTCACCCTTCTCACATTCATACATACCCATAGCCTGGTGTGCACACTCCTTGGGTGGAAACAGAGAAAACCATTAATGAGCCTTGTCCCCTCTCCAGAGATGATTTCCTGGATGGTCTGAGGAGGGGAGCAGGGTCAAAACCGAAAGGGGGAATTTTCCAAGTGCATGATGACCTTTCCCAGTTCCATCCTACTAAGGTGACAGCACAGCTGAAGGAACTGGAACTAACAGCTCCTGACTGACAGGGCCCCAGTATTACTGTTCTCCTACTTCACAGTGGAGGGAGTTTTACTGCTCATTGTGTGCATAACTTATACAAGTTCATCCTAAAAGTCTATGAATACAGCAAAATACAAAGACGTTCAGGCCCCTCCCTCAGATCTCTCAGCCATGTAGTACAACTTTCTGTCCCAGAGTGCCAGCCCAGGCTCAGCTTCATGTCCTTCTCCTGACTGTACCCCACCCCGCCTCTGCTTATATGTCCCCAGCATCCCAATGCTCAGGGAACCTGCTCAGTGCCATGCCAAGCAGTTCACTACCAGAGGGACTGTGCCCTGAAGAGACATCTGAGAGCACCTGTGGACATTTCTGACTGTGGAGTCTATGAAGACACCACTGGTGCACACTAGGCAAAGGGCAGGCATGCTGCTAAAGCCAGAGCTCTCCCACTTCACATATCCATACTGCCCTGTAAAATAACCTCAGTTGTGGCACAAAAATGTCCCATCCCATCCATCTGTGGCCAACCTGAAGTGGTCAAAGAAGCTTCTAGACATCAGCAGAAAAAAGATCACTGACTCCCTTGCAGTCTCCCTGCTTTCCACACAGGAGAGGCTGGGCATCTACTGTCCCTTCCTTAGGGGCTGTCAGAAGTGGCTCAGAGCCAGGCTGGGGACTCACCTTGTCTCCAGAAACACCAGGTCCTAGCACATGAGAACCAGCTGAAAGATATTGTGAGACCCCAAAAGATGTAGGCATACTCAGAACTGCCCAGGACCCAGGTTCTGGGGATTCACTGATAGAAGTGTATCTCAGGTAGTAGCAAGACAGAAGATTCCAACACCCCTAGGCAAAAAAAAAAGGTTTATATGTTAAACTGGACAAAGGTGACCCACAGCCACCCAGAGTGAACCCTGGCTTCCTCAAACACTATTAACACATCTAACATCAGTAAAGACAATCTGGGCATCAGAGTCTGGAAGTAAATGCTCTGCTGACAATCTTAACAACTTTGTTTATCCTGTACGGTTGGTACCTTTGCCAAGGTCACCTGACTGACAAGATGGTGAGGGCCATCATGGTCATAGTCAAACCAGGCTAGGCCTTCTTCTTGGTGGTGCTGTAGAGAACATGGTCCTCTAAGCAAAACAGCTGCATCATCATCAGATCAGCTATGCTTGCTTGCTAGAAGCCATCACTAACAGGCTTCCTCAGAGAAAGAGGGAGTAGGGAGGATCCCTGGATTATGCTGGGACTGAAGAAGCAGCTGTGGTTATCAAAGGGATCGGCACCACTAAAGTCAAGCCTTGTGCTTCATTAGGACAATAGGAACATGCTTCCTCAGGGCCAGCACACAGGAGCTGATCCAAGGGGGCCAGGCTACATATTGAGCAGGAAGAACTTGGCAATGTTGTCAGCATCATCCAAGACTGAGGAGGTCATGGAAAGCAGTAGAGCCATGGAACCTTGTGGTAGGGTCAGAATCCCTGCAGAGAGGTGCTGAGAGGTCATTGGTGAAGATGAAGCCTTAGTTGCAATGGCGACCCCAGGATACTGGAGATGCCAGGACCATGGAGATCTCCCAAAGACAGCTACAGGTGTGGAATGGAAATAGCCTCAGAAGGAAGCTGTGTGTGCTGTGCATGGCAGAGCTGCACAAACCCTTTGAAGCCCAGACGATTTCATTATGAGTGAGTTCCTGATGTCAGACACTGAACTACAGGATTTGGATTTATACTGCTGGATTTTAATTTTGCTTTGATGTGATCGTCTTTATACCCTGCCCTGCCCCCTTTGGGAATAAGAATGTTTAAGTATATAACTTGTTTTTCATTTTATAGGAACCCATAGTTAAGAGACTTTAGGGACTTTTTAGAGTTGGAATATATTTTATATCATAATATTAACATGAGACTTTGGGGACAAGGAATGGAAAGCTATGGCTTGAAGTGATGTGTTTATGCATCACATTGACAAGGGATGGATTGTGCTTGCTAGTTTAAACTGTCAACATAACACAACCTAGAATCATTTGAGGAAAAAGTCTTAATGAGGAATTACCTAGACCAGGTTGGCCTGCAGGCATGTCTGAGGGGGTTTGTTTTCATTGTTAATTGATGTAGGAAGATACAGCCCACTGTGGGTGGCACTATTCCCTAGGCAGAGGGTCCTGAACTGTATGAGAGGAGAGAGCTAACTGAGAACAAGCAAAGCAGCAAGGATACATGTGTTTATTCTTTCTTCTCTTAACTGTGGATGTGATACTTTAAGTTCCTGCCTTGACTTCCTCACAATTATGGACTATGACCTGGAATTGTAAGACAAATAAACCCTTTCTCCCAAAAGTTGCTTCTTGTAAGGCTATTTTATCACAGAGGTGAAAATAGAACAGCTATTTTTATGTAATTCTGTTCTAATGCCTGTGTCCTTGGGATCTGGAAGGTACTATAGTATACAGGCTGGAGTAAATTACAAAGATGCCCCATTTATGTGGCTATGAGAAGACATCATCCATGCTGGATGAAGACTTCCCAGTGAAACTGTTTTGAAGTCATCCATACTCCTGCCAGTAACCCCTCACCCATGTTTTTTAAGTCCAATAAACTCATTGGTGTCCTAGTGTGAACTTCAGAGGAATTGTACAGTGGTTTGTCAATGGCACCTTAGGAGGAAGTAGGTAGATAGTGTTTAAGTCTCCCCAGGGAAGGAATTCTCATAACAGGTGCCTCCACTCCAAGCCCCAGGGCCAATGCTGCTGCTGAGATCACTTGGACAGAGTCGGGCCCAGTCTTGGTTTTTCTTATTGTTTGTCTGGTTGTCTTTGTTTTTCCTAGAACCTTATGTATCCTAAGCAAACACTCTACAACTGAACTCATCCCCTAGTCTTGGAGTCGTTTTAATCCCATCTAAAATTCAGCTTGCATGGGAGTAGGGGTATGAGCACCTTAGAGGAGTCTCATTTAAAGGGATTCTCAGAGGGTGGGAATGGCATTCTTGGCCCTGAACACCAACTGCTGCTGTACAGTGCTCCTTTGTTAGTAGATGTGTCCCAGGGCCAGGATGCTACAGGGAGCAAGACCAGTCCAGTGTAAGGCTCTCTTGAACAGGAGGGCTGCTCTTATGGGGGTTGTGGTGGGGTATGT